CATTGTTCGCCTTCCTTTGATTCCTAACACACCACAGTCTTTCCTTCCAGCTTAGTTGTCAGGGCCAAGCTGAGCATAGATGTCTCCTGGAAGTAATGGGCTTCACAAATAACTACAATAGCTACATAATAACTGTCACTATATTAACTGTTGATAAGCTCAGAACTGAGTCTGAAATGCAGACCAAGATTTTTTTCTTACATAACCATGGCTCACCTCTGCCTCCTTCATCTTGTGTGCTCTGTTTACGGCTTAAGTCACAGGGGGAGGAGCTTAGCTCATTTCCATCAAATATAGGAATGAAAAACTTACATTTTCAAAGCAATTAAAAAATTATTTTAAATTAAACATTTAATCACAGCTGACTTAGATCCACCAGGCTCCAACTGGTTCAACGTAACCAATTACTATTACCTCCTATAGACCAGGTCCCATTTTTCAAGTGCTATAAGAATACTGTACCCATTTAATCCTTCAGACAACTGTGTGAGAGGCAGGATGAGAATTACCAGAGGAAACATCTCAGAAGGAGTGAATGACTCGCCAGTTTCCTAGAGCCAAAATGGTTGCTTCCTATCCACATCCCGTTCACCTGTCAGAGTTCAGGTCTTCCAGAACCACAGCTGAAAAAGAATGTCAGCCTTAACATGGATGTTCCAATAGCCTTGCTGTTCCTCTATCGTGGGTGTCACAGATGAATTTTAAAAATCCTCTGGATTTCCTAAAATCTCATCAGTGCCCCAAATCTCAAAGGGCTGGGCGTCATGTACAACGATGAGCTGGAGTTCACTGGGCTTGATCTTCTCAATTTCCCAACACAGCACACATAATCCCCTCCTCTGACAGCCAGTAAAAAGAAATAGTAACAAGAAGCAGAGCTTATAAATTTCCGTTACACTTAATGCCTGATTTCACTTAGTTAATGGATTCACTTATTAGAGCAATTTGTATAAATCTCCAAGGGCCTGCTAAGGTTGCTGCCTTCTGGTTGTATCACGTCATATATTTCCTTTAGTTCTATCCTTTAACAAAAAGCGGATTGGCAAGGAACTTTGGACCAACTACTGCTCAAAGCATAGGTAAATTGTAAATAAAGTTTAAAATAAGGGCTTTTCATGCCCTGGGGTTTCCTTTAGCAACAAAAAGGGATTTCATTTTTTGTGTGTTTCAGCTGAGTCATAAATCCCAGCTACCATGGTCTCAGTGCCATGTTGATTCCAGGCTTATTTTCAGGAGTCTACATGTCTCCTTCAGGTTTTCAGTTGTGTGGACCTGAACCGAAAGGTTTTGGGAGCCATCTGACATCAGTATAGGCACCCTCATCATGGTCCCTCTCACTGAGAGGAGCAGGCAGAAAGCAGAGGTATGGCCTTGTGTAACGGCAGGTACACCGTGGTCGGGAGGGAGGGCCTCTGAGGACCTGCTGCGCTCTGGCTGAGAGCATTTAGCCAGTGAGAACTCCACAGTGATGAAGTCTGGGCTACATGGCTCATATGCACATGATCTAGAATCCAGGTGGATCTGGAAGGAAGGCCATTCTTTTTTTTTTTCTTTTCTTTTCTTTTTTTTTGAGACAGAGTCTCACTTTGTCATCCAGGCTGGAGTGCAATGGCACAATCTTGGCTCACTGCAACTGCTGCCTCCCAGGTTCAAGTGATTCTCCTGGCTCAGCCTCCCAAGTAGCTGGAACTACAGGTGTGCACCATCATGCCCAGCTAATTTTTGTATTTTTAGTAGAGACAGGTTTTGCCATGTTGGCCAGGCTGGTCTTGAACTCTTGACCTCAGGTGATCCACCCACCTCGACCTCCCAAAGTGCTGGGATTACAGGCATGAGCCACCATGCCTGACCTGAAAAGCCATTCTTAATATGAAATTGCCCCACAATCAGAGGCAAATGGGGACCTCCACTGGAAGAAATCGAGACAAGGAGAAACGAAATTCTGCCCACCTAAGATTGACAATACAAATGACTATCTGTGCAGTGAAGTGGAAGCCACTAGTATGTAATTATTGTCTCCTATGCTAAATGAAGTACATAACTTAGGAAGTGCTTAGAAAAAAATAAGTGAAAGAAAAAATTCATTATCTCTTAGTTTTACTTTAAGAAAGGGGAATCTGGTGATGGTTTTATGCTAATGGAGAGGTGAGGGGTAAAGATATCCATATTGGGAAGAGCTAAATTGCTTTACATTAGAAGTGGGTCCAAAAGGTAGTGGAGTGAGGACTTAAGAGTGAGGGGCTGGGTGGGGAGAGGGGTGAGTGGAGAGACAGAGGGAGAGAGAGTAAGAGAGCCAGAGTGGGCACAGAAGGACTTAGAGCCTTATGGATGAGAGAGAAAGGTTTGGAAGAGACAGTGAGGATGGGGAGAGATTGTGCTATGCAAGGTAAACTCTGCAATCCTCTCTGTGAAACTGACATAAATAAAATTATTATGTGTGTGGGCCAGGCACTGTGACTCATGCCTGTAATCCCAGCCAGCACTTTGGGAAACTGAGGTGGGTGGATCACCTGGGGTCAGGAGTTCGAGACCAGCCTGGCTAACATGGTGAAACTCCATTTCTACTAAAAATACAAAAAATTAGCCAGGCATGGTGGCAGGTGCCTGTAATCCTAGCTACTCAGGAGGCTTAGGCAGGAGACTTGCTTTAACCCAGGAGGCAGAGGTTGCAGTGAGCTGAGATCACGCCATTGCACTCGAGCTTGGGCAACATGAGTGAAACTCTGTCTCAAAAAAGTGTGTGTGTGCGTGTGTGTGTGTGTGTGTGTGTGTGTGTGTGTGTGTGTAATGCAAAATTCTCTTTGGGGTTCTTGGAGGCACCCCCAACGGTAGCTGAAAACAGGAACACTGGCTGGCCCATGTGGCTGCAGAGTGGGAAAAATGTACCAGAAACATTAAAATGCCAGGAGCAGAGAAAACAAATGGAGCCTTCCAACATGAACCCTCATTCCAAAGTCATAAGGACAAATTATTGTAATTGGTGTCTTGATTTATGATGGCCCTGCCTCCTATGAGAGCAGCTCCACAAGGCTGCTGCAGGCACTGATGGATGCTTAGTGCAGGGAGTGCAGGGTGGCTGTTGGTCTTCCATGATGTGCACAAAGCTGCTGGGGTGGGTTTCTCCTGGAGAAGGAGGAGATGTGTGGAGTCCTGTTTTGTGGTTGGCATGGGGGCAAAAGGAGAGGCTGTAGGTGGAGCTAGCCAACCTTTGGGTCACAAATGAATAAGTACATGAATGACAGGTTTATGGTGACAGATGTACCTGCCAGGCAATGGGTAAAAACCCCACTTCTCATAAAAAGGCTAGTGTTAATAAAGTCACTAAACCTTTTCATGGTGATTAAGGGCAAATTGGGGCTTTCTGTTCCCAGACCCCTTTTGAGGTTCGGCTCCACTGCTTACTAGCTGTTGCCCCTGGGCAGGCCACTGAACATCTTTAAGCTGTTTTATTTTATTAAAAATGAGGATAATAGGCCTGGCACGGTGGTTCATGCCTATAATCCCAGCACTTTGGGAGGCCGAGGTGGGCAGATCACAAGGTCAGGAGTTCGAGACCAGCCTGGCCAACATGGTGAACTCCCATCTCTACTAAAAATACAAAAAAAAAATTAGCCAGGTGTGGTGGTACAGGTCTGTAATCCCAGCTACTTGGGAGGCTGAGGCAGGAGAATTGCTTGAACCTGGGAGGTGGAGGTTGTAGTGAGCCAAGACCATACCATAGCACTCCAGCTTGGGCAACAGAGCAAGACTCTGTCTCAAAAAATTTTTTTAAATGAGGATAATATGAGTGTCTACTTAAAAGGATTATGGTGAGATTACTTGAGATAACCTGTAGCCCAAAATACGTTAAATGATGAGGATTTCTATTCTATGACCACTTGATAATCAATATGTATTGATGATCACATTCACTACTTAACTCCTACCAAGTGCAGCTCTCACGTTAGTTTCCTGCTTTCTTTTTGGCCTCTTTCTTTTCCGTTTTTAGGGCCACCAGCACTTCCTTCTAAGCGGTGGGGCAAGTTTATGCTGTAACCAATTCTAATGCTCACTGGTTTTGTTTTTTAATCCTTTGAGGTGTAAGTGATGCATTTTCATATTAGTAATGTAAGTTTGTATATAGTAGCTATATATAATGTTAGAGGTATATTATATATAACATGTTGGTTTCTGTGTTCTATCTCACATTAGAAAATAACTAGGATAAAGGCAGCCTGTGTGCAAAGGACAGACTCACCTTCTCTGTGCCACACGAAGCTATGTGGAAAGCTGTGGAATAAGCAGGAACCAGGCATAGCTTTCATCATCATCTGTCTCATAAGATTTCCTTTCACCTGATGTTTCTCCTTTAAAAACCCACTTACTCCCACTCTGTGCCTTTTTCCCTGGTTCCAGTTCTGTTTCCCCCAGAAAATCCAGAAGGTTCCCTTTACAAACTAACCCTTTGCTGTCCGTGTTGCATCCCTGAAAGGCCTCCTGTGCCTTTGCGTGCAGGTCCCAAGTGTCCAGGCCATCTGTGCCATCTGTGCCATCTGTGCCATCTGTATCTCATCAAGGCAGCGCGAGGGTGGAGGGCAGAACCTGGGTCCTGGCCTCTCAGCTTTTGTGGGTTTCAGCCAGATCCTGCGTGTTATTTTAGGGCAACTTTGGTGTTGAATTTGAGGATGTGTGTGGACCAGAAGGAGGGACCAAAACATGATTTTTTTTTTTCCTCTTGGTCAAATGATTAAATTTGAAGTTCTAAAAAATGCACAGCTTGGATCAAAGCTGTGTCCAATTGGGAAGAGAAACATGGCCTGGAAACCCCTCCCATGCCGGGGACCATCCTTCCTTAACCACCAGCCACCTCACAGCCCCGCTGACTGCGGGCATCACCTGGGCAGGCTGTGGTTACTCACTGCCCAGGAGCCCTGTGCCCGGGAGCTGTCCTTCCTTTCTTCAAAGGGCATTTTGTGCCTTTGCTGGAAGAACTGACTACAGGTTTGTTCCATTTCTTACAGTTTTGAAAGCGCCACGAGCAGCAGCTGCTGAACCATGGCTGAAGGGGAAATCACCACCTTTACAGCCCTGACCGAGAAGTTTGATCTGCCTCCAGGGAATTACAAGAAGCCCAAACTCCTCTACTGTAGCAACGGGGGCCACTTCTTGAGGATCCTTCCGGATGGCACAGTGGATGGGACCAGGGACAGGAGCGATCTTCACAGTAAGCACATCTCTATGGCACCCTTTTCCCTTTCTGGCATCGTCTGTAGTCAAGGTGGGAGGAAGGAGCATATTTAAGCAGCGATGCTTGCTTCTCCAAGGTTCTATTCAGGCACAACACATGCCAAGGTGGAGTCACATCAATGTGTAAAACGTCTGGGTTGGGAAAAGAGGGAGTTGTGGGGGCCACCACTTACCTAAACGTGTCCTATTTCAAGCTTTTTAAAGCGCTCTCTGCTGACCTAACAGAACGGGCTGCCGGTGCTCGATCGCCGTATGTTTTCCCAGGTTTCTGTAACTAGTGAAAGATCTGGCCCCAAGGCTGGTCCGGGGCCCGCGTGCTCCATGAGGGAAGGAACCAGACGGGCATGGCGGTAAATCCTGCACAGAGGTGCGGGCTCCGTTTCAAGTCAACTGACTCTCCTGGTTATGTTTCCACTGGGCTTGATTTGTGAAATCCTAGTTCATCATCGTAGTCTTACACATCGTAAATCAGGCAGCTTTCCCTCTGCGTATCGCACAGATGTGGCCGTGGTAACCAGCAGGGGTAAAGTCATTCTCCAGACCGTATAGAAACTGGAGAGTGGGCGTGCCTCCTGCCAAACGCTGAATCTCTCTTCCAGGCCTTCCTGGCAGCCCGGCTCTCAGAGGGGGTTGGTAAATGAAGGTATGACTCTGGAGAAAAGAATCTTCTTGACTGTCTAAGTATAAAAAACCTCTTCCTTCTGTTCTGGTTCTTCCGGCGTTCGATATTAGGTTTCTGGGTCTCACTGTGATGTTATCTGAGATTCCCCGAGTCCCACTGTAGCATCAGCAACAGATGTTACAGAGAAGCCAGAAGTCAGATTCAGTCCCTGCTTAGAGGGTCGGCAATTTTTTTTTTTTTTTTTTTGAGATGGAGTCTCACTCTGTCACCCAGGCTGGAGTGCAGTGGCATGATCTTGGCTCACTGCAAACTCTACCTCCTAGGTTCAAGCAATTCTCCTGACTTAGCCTCCTGAGTAGCTGGGACTACAGGCATACGCCACCATGCCCAGCTAATTTTTGTATTTTTAGTAGAGATGGGGGTTTTGCCATATTGGCCAGGCTGGTCTCGAACTCCTGACCTTGTGATCCGCCTGCCTCAGCCTCCCAAAGTGCTGGGATTACAGGCTTGAGCCACCGCGCCCGGCCAAGGGTCAGCAATCTTAAGAGTCAAATATGCCACAAATCAAGAGAAGGAAAATCAGGAGGTACAGAAGAGGACAGACAGGAAGTTTCTGTAGGACTGTTTAAAATGCAATGCAAAACTCTCACTTTGACGTGATGGTTTATGTATCAGGTGGTCTTCATTATTCATGGACAAGGCACTAGAGTTGTAGGCTCTAAGCACAAATGATCACTTAGCTGGTGCTCACGCTCTACCCTCAGATGCACAGGTAGTGGGGATGGAAGCTGGCGTTTACGCACGAGGTGACATTGTTCCGTCCTTCCCACCCACTGCACAGACCCTTGAGATGAAGAGCAGGAAGGCTGAGGCTGAGGCTGGGGCTTACAGCTGCAGAATTAGCTCTTTTGGGCTTTGTTTTGATGGCTTATCTTCAAATGGGCTTGCTGAATGCCTTATACTCAGTGAAAAACAGGTATCAGAGTGAGGCACAAAAAGATCTATTTGTTAAAAGCAGACATAAACAGTATTTATTGCAAATCAGTGCACATAGGTGGTGGTCCATCGTGTCAGGCATGATAAACAATTCATGTGATCTTCCCCATACAATACAAGGGAACAAGCTTTAATTTCTCCGGGTTTTAAGAGTTCCTAATACGGCTTAGCAATTTTCCGAAAAAGCAGGGAATGCTCTCTGGTCCTCAGAACCCAAGAGGAAAGGCAAGCTTTGTGATATGGTCCTTGGGGTTAAGCTAGCTCTTCTGGGAACCCTTGAATTCTGGGATAACGAGAGGCTCCAATACTGGAATTTCTGGTGCAATGGAAAATGGCTTCATTGTTGTCTATCCCTCATTAGTACGACAGCCTGCACTCTGGGTGCGTAACGCTGGGACAACTTCTGGAGTCCGTAGTGGATCTGGCCACCTGACTTAAGATGTCAGGAGCTTCTAGAAAGCAGCGCAGGGTAGCCTTGGGCATATATGTGAGGACGTCTGCATTCAAGGAAAGCCGGATTGTTTTCCAAGTAAATTTGGGCAACTGTACCTTTCTGTCCTCACTTTTCGCACTTGTACCAAAAGAATACCAATACTCCTTGCCTTACAGGTTTCTTGGGAGGATTAAATGAGATAATATAGTGGGAGCTGTTGGCACAGTGCCTGGCCCAGAGGAACAGCACAGCACACGTTGCTTCATATTGCATTTATCATCATCAAACTTCCCATACATTCAGCCCAGAATGTGGTAACACGGTCGAATCCGAGGACTTTCTAAGCTCCTTTTTTACAGTACTGCCTGCCACCCAGGAAAGTCAAGGGGTTAGATACAGGCCTGGATTCAGGGTCTCTCTGCCAACGCTCGGTGGTGTTGTGTGGGCCTATTATTTGCTTACTCTGGAACTAGGAACAAGGACCAAGAGGGCAGAGGGCAGAGTAAGTGGGCTGGGTGGCCAGAAGTCCATCCCTGTACCTGGCAATACCAGAACTGGATATTGTGCTGCAGAGTCAGCAGGCTCGAGTTCAAGCCTGCTCTGCCCCTTTCCACCTGGAGAAGCCCCGACAGTGAACGTTCTTTCAACCAGACACTCTTTCTGTTTGCATACTCTGCAAAAGAAACTTAGAGACCCCTAGCCCTGGGACTCTTCCCAACATCCTTTCCTAACTAGAAATTTAAGTGTCTCTAGTGTTCCCAGCTAATTTTCAGGAAAAGCGTTTAATCTCACTGAGACTGTTTCCTCACCCGGGAATCGGAATGGCAGCATTCCCCAGCGTGCCTCACAAGGGCGAAAATACGACCTACTAAGATTCTGCAGGTGAGAGCAGTCTTGGGCACTCCCTGAATGTGGTTCTGTCGCCCTCTTCTGCTCAGTGGTGGTACTGCCAGAGCCCTTCTAAATTTGAAGAGTTATACGGAATTGCCTCCGCTAGGCATGGGGAGGATGCTCCCTGACTAAATGTAGTCCGCACGTCCTGGCCAGGGGGTGTTTTCAATTTTTTGATCACTAGTTTGAGCATGATTAGAGATTGAGGTAACAGGTGGAGTCACATGTTAAGACTTCCTTCAGAAAGAGCATTTCTAAAAGCCAATAGAAAAATTTAAATAAATCACACAAGATAGAACTGTATGCCTTTGAGCTCTACAAGGCAGAAATAACTCCTTTCACAGCTTCCCTTTGTCCCCAAGTCATTGATCTTTCCTGGGCAAATGTACCTTCTTCCTCCTTCTAGGCGAATGAGTTTCCAAGTACCTAACCTTTTTTACAGAGGCATAATCCTAGGACAGATGCTTGTGTAGGGGCCATTCTCATAGACACCTGAGTAAAATGTCTACCGGTGGACTTGTGGCTTGCAGAGAAGATGGTTTGGGTCTGTCCTGTTACCATTCCTCAAATCACTGCTGCAGGCAGTTAGCAGTCTGGACGGTGAACACTGGTTATGCTGCTGTGCTACAAAGGCTAGGCAGAATCCGCCCGGGAGTGCGGCACAGATTCCAGGGCTGATCGGCACAATTTGAGAAGGTTCATGTTGGCCCCTAAGTTTCAGTTCAGGGAGACATGTAAATGGTGTCACCATCAGAGGGGGAGGTCCTGGAAGAGCATCAGGTCCAGGGGAAGATGGCCAGTTCCATTCTGGACACAAGCATTTCAGTAGTGCCTTGTGTATCATGCCGCTCTCCTCAGAGTTGTAATTCTACATTTATTTATGTGATTATTTAATGGTATTTCCCTCCCACTGCACTCCCTGAGGACAAGGACTTTGTCTCTTATTGCTCAATACTACAAATACAGTGTCTAACACATCGCCTGCCACTTGGTAAAATACCCAGTAAACATTAATTTGATGAGTGACCAAATTGTCTTGGTGGCCACTAAATTCAAATTCAACCATATATTCAACAAACATCTATCGAGCCCTGATATGTGCTGGCCATTATGCTGAACTCTCTCACTTCCAGCTAACCACAGCCTTGAGAGGTTACTAATTATCATCACTCTAAGAGCACTGCAGCTGACAGGCGTGACCAGCTCCTAACTGGGAGGGCTTGGCAGCAACCCCGTCTTCTGCTTCCAGGATTAAGGTTTCTTCCATATCCCACCGACCCTGACACCCCAACACCGTGACAGCGGTTCTGCCCCGCAAACTGATTCAGTAAACGTCGGTGCTGTGGGTCAGATGGAGGTAGGTCAGGTCCCAACACTGCGATTTACCATTTCTGTGTCACCTTGGGACAGTTACTCTCAATGTGCCTTGGTTGCCTTGTTCTAAAAACAAGAATGGCAACAGTACCCACTTATAGGAATGTAGACGTCTTTTTTTTTTTTTTGAGACGGAGTTTCGCTCTTGTTACCCAGGCTGGAGTGCAATGGCGCGATCTCGGCTCACCGCAACCTCCGCCTCCTGGGTTCAGGCAATTCTCCTGCCTCAGCCTCCTGAGTAGCTGGGATTACAGGCACGCGCCACCATGCCCAGCTAATGTTTTGTATTTTTAGTAGAGACGGGGTTTCACCATGTTAACCAGGATGGTCTCGATCTCTCGACCTCGTGATCCACCCACCTTGGCCTCCCAAAGTGCTGGGATTACAGGCTTTAGCCACCGCGCCCGGCTGGAATGTAGACGTCTTAATGTGATGTTTGTAAGAGTGTTCAGCACACTGCTAGGCACATACGTGCTCAAAAAAATGAAACTAATCATCATCCGTCCAGGATTCCTGAGCCTTCCTCACCTAACCAGCTCATCTTTCAAGTCTGTTAGAATAAGTGAATGCTATGCTTGCTCACAGAACTGAGGGTGACTGTCCCAGCCTCTCTGGGACTATCCGGGTGAAGCCCCTGAGGCCTGACACAGAGGCATACCTT